TATGATGATGATTATGATGGTAATAATAATGATAGAAATAATAATAGTAATAATAATAACAAATAACAATAATAATAATAATAATAATAGTAATAATGATATTAATAATAATAATATTAATAGTAATGATAATAATAACAACAACAACAATAATAATAATTATCGTAGTTAGTTATTTTTATCGTTATTTATATATATATATATTTATATAATATAATATTATTCAGGATGACGTGAGGGGATGTAAAATAATGACAGAAAACTATCTCTCTCTTACATGAAAAATAGGTTTTTCTCGCATGTGTGTAGGTGTATATGTTTACATATGTATATGAAACGCATGTATATAATATTTCTAGACTCTCTTACGTGGATATTTATATATTTATATATGTATATATGTACATGTATGCATATCCAATCACATATGCACGAAAGATGTATATGTTCAACTAGGAAACGAATGGCACGTTTCTTTCACTCGCCGTATATGTTCTCAGTGATAAGTCAATATGTGTGTAATGTGGTATGTATGTGGCATGTATACATAGTATTTATATATAATACTTCAAAGTAATAAGCAACATTGCTATTTCATATAAATTAGATTTTTAGAGCGTTCATTTAATTATTTAAAGAAGAGTATTATTGTTAACAAATGCGATCTAAGTTCAGTTGAGTTAACAAATAGAACAGTGGTTCCTGGATCTTCTTTGTTTATCACACACTATTATCACACAAATATTTCTATTTTTTGAATTATCAAATTATAAATTTATTTATTAAATTATTATTTATTTATTAAATTTATTTAACTCTTAAAAACTATTATATGAAAACATTTACTCGGAGTGAAATTTCACCCTATAATGGCCTTTAAGGATTAATTAAATTTTGATAGAAAATATATTTTTAAATGAATATCATAATAAAACGTATAGTATTAGAAATGACAAAAAAAAGAAATAAAGAATATTTTATTTATTCTAAGATTTAAAAGAGAATGCACGATAAAATTCGAATCAGGAGCCACTGACCCGAAAAATATTTTCTCGAAATCGAGCATTCTTTCTTCCGCTACGAATATGTGTTAATATCAGACAAATTCAACAATCGCGTTAAACTTTCAAGAAGCGTAAAGAATAACATCGCTAAAATATACGTGTCAATAGCTACAAAAATAATATGATTCAGTAATATTGATCTTAATTCTAATTTAATATTTTATCTTTTTATTTTTTTCTTGTCGCCTGGAAAATATTCAACTAATTATGAAATTAATCAGAGAAGCAATTTATTTTATTAAAAAATCGTCACTATGTTTGAAACAGTCCGTAAATGTATATCGGTGTTGTCGGTATTTAACCCTTCTTTGCGTTTTACAGTTTAAAACGTTACATAATATCTGCAACACGGTATTGACCACTATGCATACTTTATATGTATATTTATGTATATGTATATATGTATATATATATAATATAATGTGTTATCTGTTCTCTCATTTACGTTTTAGTTTTTTTGTTTTTATTTAATCTGCCTAGTGTTTTTTTATTTTCATTTATGCGGTAGTGGATGTAATAATCATTGCAATGATAATCGGTAACAATAATAATTTATTACATAATATTTATAGCTTTCTTTCTTTCTTCTAATTTAATTCTCCTTTTATGTTCGCTTCTTATAGTACATCGCATGTCTTTTGCCTGAATAAAAAGGTATATTTATCTCTCTCTCGTTCGCTCTTTCTCACGTTCCACTTAATTGTAGTATTTCTCATTCATTGACGTTTTTATTTTTTTCTTAATATTAGTCATTATAGCCCAAAGAACACTCAACAAGTTAACACGGTCTTTGAGCCTTCGATTTTTTTATAATATTAATTTTCTTTTTTTTTTTTTTTTATTTGTTTGTTTGTTTGTAGAACGATTTAAACTTCTTCCGATTCCTTTTATTTCCTATCCCTAAAAGGTTCTTCGTATATCTTTTATATTTCTCCGTTCCTGTGGCGTTGAATTCTTTTTCTTTCTCTTTCTTTCGTTTACGTCTCAGGACGGTCTTTTAAAACTTCGATTTGAATATAAATCAATTCGATATTGTTTATCCATTATTTTCTTATCGAATAAATTCATGAGACATTTTATTTTGTAGTTTTTTTTTTGTTTCAATAAAATAAAACGATATTTATCGAAGATATATCATAAACTCGAAGAAAACGAGTTCCGAATTGCTGCTGGCGTGTTCCATCGATCTCGAGGATCTTAGGTTAGGTAAACGAAACATTTTCTTTCTTCTTCTTTTCTCTTCTTCTCTTTTTATCTTCTTATCTTTTTATTTATTTCTTTCGATTGCCAACTTTCGGGATATCGCAAGTTCTTCTCTTTTATTCTTCCTCCCTTCATTCGACTATTCGCACAGGATTATTCAACGATACGAAGCTAAAGTTAAAACACGTTAACAAACTTATAATTGGAATATCCCTCGTTTCACGAGTTTCTTCCTTCTCCTCCTCTGTTAATATCGATTAATTGTCTTAAAAAAAAAAAAAACCAAAAACAAAATCTTAATATCGTATATAGATTATGCTCTCTTTCCCTTGTTTTTCTTCTCTTTAAAATGCGAGACGTACGGCTTTTTGCAAAATCACAGAGAAATTACGCATCGCTTAACACTGTCGTTTTAAGATATCCTATTTAGTCCACGATGGGCTACGTACATTTTATAAATTTCTAGGCCTGCTCTTCGTCGTTTGAGATCTTCATCCTCGGTCGTCGTTTTTTTCTTCGCCATAATCTCGACGCCTATGTCGATGAAGAAGACTCGTGGCAGGAATAACGGCTCCCTGTTCTCCATTCGATGTCACAGCGAAATCTATTTCTTCTCTTATTTTCTTCCTCTTCCCTTATCGAACTTTCGACACATTCCACAAGCTTATGAGAATTTATGAATTTATTTCGATCATATTATTCCTCCTCGATAATGTTTCTCTTCTTCGTTTGTCGGTTGCTTCGTTTATTGCTGTCAAGGTTGAACGTCTCACGGATGAGAAAAAACAAGATTACGCCGAAACGAAGATTTTATTACATTTATCGTATGCTGTGCCATCGTTGGAGAACGTTGATATATATTTTTTGGTCCGCACGATTTTAGGCATAGATCCTGGACAACTGGAACGTGCCGTCAGGTTAATATAAGAAGGCGCTAGAAATCGATCGCTAGAGGACTACTGGCATAGCGAATATCTATGTATAGACTGCTTCTAGTGTAGCGTCCAGGATCTAGGCTTAAAACTGCCGCCAATGATTCGATCGACAGTGGACGCAGCCATTGTCGCTCATGGAGCCGTTAGTATCTCTCTGTATGCTAGTATAACGAGTGTCGTCATTGATACGAATCCTTGTGGAAAGTGTCACTCTTGTGGAAGATTCGTCGTCCCTCTCGAGAGAGCTCCTGACTCGCAAAATTGTTTTCAGACTTTGGTCTGGGCAACAGGCAAGGGAGGGTCCTCAGCTCCATGCTGTGTACCTGGAATTGGAGAATGATACATTATTTCAATATGATTATTTAAAAGAAAAATTTTTCTTTTATGAGATTCATTTAACTTTATTAGATACAAGTAATTCTTCAATTGTATATAATAGTATGTAACGAATCAAATTTTTTTAACAAAAATTTAACTCTTAATTTAACTCTAATACATAAATATTTTTTTGTTCTAGATAAAAACTGACAAGGATTATCCTCTAATTGACAGAGCTCGACGAGAGAATTGGTGCAAAGTGGATTGCTCGTTATCAGGTAATCGTATATTTTAATTCGTTCATTTTCTTTATATCATTTATTGATGCAATGCAAGGTTCATGCAATTGTACATTCAATATCAATCGCACATGTATCAATGTCATTAAAAAGTTAATTGATATTTTTATACCGATTTTACTGTGATGTTATATTCCGTTCAATGTTATATATTTGCAGTAATACTTCTAATAAAAAATATAAGAAAAATCTATCGCTTCGGCAATGATGCAAATATATATATTTACCGATTCCTCACTGGCGCTAGCATGCGCAGCTTGTTCCGCGAGCGCATTCACCACAGCGTTTATCGTTTTCGACTCGCTGCCGAGATCCTCCTCTCGATGAGCCACCAGATTTGGATTTTTGCCGATTTTGTTTAACCTATAGAGAGAGCACAATTAAGCGTAGGGAATGTTGCACGGAACACAACCAACGATTAATTCACATCGATCGACTTACAAACCGTTTAGCAGTGTTACAGGTATTCCCTAAAAAATCGTATTATTATTCCGCCGCGACTTGGAACAAAGTTGTATTATTCGTTTCTAATACCACTTGCACCGCTAAAGGTTTCACAATGTGAGATACAAGACTGGATAAAAGAAAGTCAGTAGCTTTGAAATGCGCCCCGCAGAATCACATTTTACGTGTGTTTGTAATTAATGTTTTATTCGTTTTAACTCCTCGAAGATCGGAAAGGAAGGATAGTAGTTTGCGATTACGATACGAAGAATTTTTTCATTAATCAATGTAATCAAACATATTATTATTGTATAGTTTTATTTTCTTTATTATCAGAGTTGTGGATTGTAATTTGATTTATTTTTTAAGAGAGGGAAAGGGAAGAAAGAAAATAAAATAAGAATGCAATTGAGATGAATTGAAAATAGCGTAATTTTTAAAAAAATTTTATTGATTTGTGTTATCATTGATTGGAATTCTGAAACTGAGATGTATTGAAAATAGTGTAATTTTTAAAAAAATTTTATTGATTTGTGTTATTGATTGGAATTCTGAAACTTTAAATTTTTCTTCTCAATATACTTTACTATATATTCATTAAGATTTCTATAATATTCGTGAGGGGTTAAAACGTCCAATTGTTTGAACTTAAAAGGCAGTAGCTTTTATACATAAACTATTAAAACGAAACTGATTGGGATAAATAATATTGGTGCATTTAAATGAAAAGAAAAAAGTTATATTATAAAGATCATCTAATATCTAAAAATGTGCTTCAGCTTCTTTCTCTTTATCGTTCGATAAATTATATAAAATTTCTATCTAAAACGAAACAGAGAAATGTGACTCTGCGGAGATGCGGCAAAACCGAGAAATCCAAAACTCATTATACAAAGTATGTTTGCAAAATCATGAACAACATTGCCATGTAAGTGAATGTGTCGAGTGTGAAGATATTTTGTCGCGGTGTTTTCAAGCTTTCTTCTTTCTTTTCGAAACGGGTCGAACCTCATTCGACTCGCGTCGTCTACAGAAATCGGAGACGATCGCTCGTCGAACGGTGAACCACGTATTGAGAGAGTCAAAAAAAAAAAAAAAAAAAAAAAAAAAAAAAAAAGAGGGAAAAAAAAGAAAAAAAGAAATATCATTTCATTAAACTCTCTCAATTCATTGGAGACGCGTATCTAACGGATACCCGTCCCTTTATTGTAAGTTAGTGCGCTTTTCGTTGTAATACTTTCTCCCCAAGAAAAAAAGATTCTGCACTGTCACTGTTCAATAAGAGAGATTCTTCAATCGTAAAAAAAGAACCACGAGCCAAATAAGATATCATTTCACTTGTGTGTGTAAAGTGTATGTAAAAAAAAGCATTATCGAGTCGAGAAACTAAGCAGAGACAAAAATACGAAATAAATAATATCAAAATAATAATAAAATAATAATAATAATAATAATAATAATAATAATTACAACGATAATAACAACAACAACAACGATAATAATAATATAACAAAGATATGTTAAAAAGAGACAAGCGAATATGAAATGTTATTAGATAACGATAGCAATAATAATAATAATAATAATAATAATAATAATAATAATAATAATAATAAAAAGAAGAAGAAGAATGACTGATAGAACTCGCTTCGTCGGACAGTACACAATGTTCAAAAAAATCAACATGGAAGTGGGAGTGATGATTGACATCTATTAGCACACCAACTCGATAGAACAAACCTAACCAAAGCTTATACCTCTCGGCGGCAACGCTTTCCATCGTTCTGCGCATTAACGGATACTGGTCCAGCACGGCGTTAAAATGATCCACCGAGAGGCTGAAGAGATTGCAGTACGTCTCGGCGCGGACCGAGGCAACCCTCCTCGCGTTCGTTAACAAGCAGATCTCGCCGAAGTACGAGCCATCGGACAACGAGGTCGCGACCTCGCCGTTTGCCATTACGATATCGACTATGCCTTCTTGTATGAAGTACATTTTAGACCCGATTGTACCCTCCTTGATGATGATATCACCTGGAAAAACGGTGATCACTCTAGTGTTATTACGGAATCTTGTTGAAAAGTTATTAAGAGACTTATTGTAAGTGAAAGTAATTAACGAGAAGATTCGTTATATATATAAATGATAAATGTTAAATTTAATGGAAAGGTAAAATCGATTCAACGATCGGAATAAGGAATCGATACCTGGCTGGAAGACTTCGTATCTCAATTTGGTAACGACATCCGAGACAAAGTTGGAATCGGCATTGGCAAAGAATGGTACGGACGCGACTAACGATCTGCAGTTGTAGTTGATCACGTCCTGAAACGAGAAGGGAGGATGGATTAAGATTTGTTTGAAAACCAAGAGAATCGATAAGCAATGATAGTTTCGTTTCGTACTTCTCTTAATTTCTCCGAGAGCTCTCCAAGGATCAATTCCTCGTCGAAGAATTTTCCCTGGTAGCGGTGCTCGAAGTACTCCGTGATCCTCTGTCTCATCTCTCTTGGTAACTTTCGATAGGCCATGTATTCCTCTACTTGTTTCACCTAGTTCGAGCAGAAATTTTATTACATATTTTTCTTTTATACATATTTTTCCTTTTTTAATTCTGTTTTTACAATTTAAACATTTTGAAATAAGATTTTTTTGTCGAACGGGTGGAATAAAAATTAAGTTTCATTTTTGAGAGAGATAATTTACAAATTTAATATAACGATTTAATAGATTAATATTTATCATTCTAATTTCTTATAATACGATATTGTTAAATCGAATTAAATTTGTAATTATAAATTTAATTTGATCTTAAAAATAAGAAGAATTGAAGATCTTCTTTATTACTATAATAAAAAAAAGAAACATTTGCATAAAGAAAATATTCTATTAAATATAAAGAGACATAAAGAAGAATATACAAAGTTGCAAATATTCAGAGCAAAATTTCATTTATCTTCGTGAATTGAACAAGAAATATATTACAATTTTGAAAGGAAGAGAATAAAAAACAAAATTGAAGGTGAAAAAGAAAAAATTCCCCTCGATGATTCGCTGTACGCTCTCTGAATATCAACTACCTTCTCGCGATATTGTCTTCTGGAGGAATCGAGTGACTGTATGAGATTCGTCGCGTGTCCGAGGAAAAGTGCATAACAGGTAGCACCGCTGATCATACTGAGCATAGTGAGCCACATATCGGTCAAGGATTGCGGTGGAAACCTTCCGTATCCTATGCAGAGCATGTGCGACATGGCTTTGAAAAGTGCCCACGAGTATTGTTCCAGCCAAAACGAGTCCTGGAAAATATTACGATCGAATAGTGACGCATTTTCTACTTTCTATTTTGAATAATTCATGATCGTTATCGATAGATCGATTTTTAATTTTTGTCATTGATTTTGAAGAAGATGTTTAAGACGACAATATGCATACGATAAATTTATGATAAAATTATAGAATAAATAATTGAAATAGACGATAGACTTAACTTAATCAAGGAATCTCCAACAGAGAATTCCAAAATGGCGAAGAACTCGTCGAATTCGTCTTGCTATTTGTCTTACTTACTTGTAATTCATTGATGGCGACCCACGAGTTACTAGGAAACCCTTGGAGCATTGGGACCAGGAATTGCAGGCAGCCACTCCAGTGGCCGATTAGGAGCATCATGCAAATCAGGTTAAAAATCCGCATGAACACCGACGCCATATTCAGGAACTGCCAACAACAACGACAAAGGTTTATTCTCGTGCCAGCTTCGGGGGCCGGGATATTGTTCACACTTCAATTAAAAACTTCTCTCGTTATCCAAAGCTCCGGTTGCGTAGTGTACAGCAAATAAGCGAGTGTTGCACAAAAACGCGTCAAATATTAATTCATTTAAATACATTGTCAAAAACTATCATGATAATTGTTTATCCAAATGTCTGAGTCAAGGATCAAGTAAAACTACCTGACGTTTCGACGTTCAGAATCGAAATTCTCGTCTTTTGGATCAATCTCTTAGTGGATTCATCAGTTACATTCTTCATTCGAATGGAAAAGAAAATTTATAATTAATTTAATATTTGAAAATTAATCCATATCGTATATGCTATATCGAAATAAGAATTATATATTTAGAGAAATTGACTTTTGATCGATATATTTAGAACTTTTATGAAAAGAAGGAAATTTAAATAATTTATTTATCTTCATCTTCTTTAATCATAATATATATATAATATTGGAAGATCAAGACAAAATTTCTCGAATCTGAACGCGAACGATTTTAATATCTTTTTTTTCTCCTAAATAATCTTCGCTGTTCATACTCCCGGGTTTCAGTTTTTAGTTCAAAAAGCATGCTACATTAGAAAATACGCATCACGTGGCACACAAAAGAACAAGTCAATGTAACCTAAAAAACGTTTATAGTAATGATCACTCTACGAATGCTCTAACAGATGAAACAAAACAAAAATGTATACAATATATATATATGTGTGTATATTAGTCAATTGCACTGGTTAGGCCAAGATTCTCAGACCCGCTTATGGGCCAGACATGTTCAGGACAAGTTTCTGGGCGTTCTCTCTAAATATCCAGTATGATCGATAGTGAACTGCAAACTGTTCGACTGAACAGTGCGCCATAAGCACGATATGGGAATCCAAGTCCTCGCTAAGAAAAGAAGCTGGAAAACGCGGAAACCATTCTGAGGAGAAAAGAGCTGATATTTTAAATTATCTTCGAAATGATGCATCTTTTTAATATATATATATATATATGATAAATGATTTTTTTTTGTTAGAATATAAAAAAAATAATATAGTTTAGCTTTTTATTTTTTTAAATTAATTATTGTTTATTTTATATTATATATTATTATAAATTAATATAAATTTTATATTTTGACAATTTTGAAGGAATATCGTTATGTTTATATAATTTTACAAAAATTTTAAAGTTAATTAAATTTATAAAATTTTACGATCATAATATGATTTATTTATTATATTATTCAATTTTATTAATATAATTTAATTTTAAACGTTTTTATGTAACTTAAATTTTTTTCGAAATATTATTATATACAATATTCGTTCACGATTTAAAAAATAAATAAACGTACGTATAAAATTTCAACAATGAATTCGAGAGGAAAGATTGACAAAACTGTGAAAAAAAGCAAACAAATTCAGCGAATACTTTTCGCTCGTAACTAAAATAATTCGAAAAATGTTTATAAAAAACGTGAGAAAAAATTTCGATTCACGATGAAATTTCTAGAAATAGCTATTTCGTTCCTTTTTTTAAAAATTAAATATTAAAATTGTTTCGCGATTTTAATCCACGCTCGTGGATATAGATTTGTTTGCCTCGAATTGAACGTGTCGATAAAAGATTTATCGATACGCGATTAACAGGATGATTAAAGATTCATTAGGGAGCCAAAATAAATCTCGTATCGAGAACGAATGAGCGCGTTAAATATTCGTTTTTTTCGACACGAGAGTTTATCGAATTATTCATGCGATTCGCGTCGGATCTTGAATGGCCGCGATTTGAATTTCAGAAGCGCGAATGAACTCATATGCTGCCCGTGTTTTTTTCCTTTCGTATGTGGAATGCGTCAAGAATTATTTACGACCACGCATTTGGCATACGTTAACCGATAGATGCATATTTTTCCTATTTACCTATTGATTCGCGATAAACAAATAAATTGTCATTTTATTTTATACATTACTGTAGTATATTGGAGATTTGATAATTTTAGCATGTTGAAATTTTATTAATAATTTTGTATTTTCGATTATCCTGAACTTGCATATGTTTATTTCTTTCTTTACTTAAATCAATATTATGAAAGATACAATATACGTAATTATAGAAGAATATTATCGTGATTAAATATTACGACTGTATGAAATCTTTCGACTTTTTCAAAAAAAAAAAGAAAATAAAAATAAAAATTAATTATCTGTTTCGTTTTTAATAAATTCTCAAGAGGTTGAATATCGAATCTACCATTAGGCAATTAATCAATTAATAGTTTCAATAAAAATGGCAAAATGTTTTTTTCAATAACAGCATCATCAAGTATCATTGAAACTTTAGAAGAAGTCAAAAAAGTACAATTTAAAACGACGAAATACCAATTAAAACGAACGAGTATCAATACACAAGATCAAGATACTCCACTCGGTAGTACAAGTTCTATCAATAAAAAAATAAAAATCAAAGTTTCATTTATTCAATCTTTCCCCAAGAATTCAATGATTCTAAAATCAAAATTAATATTATAATTAATTATTACATATAATAGTATTATCTAAGTATAGTATTATATATTATACATAAATAATTATAATTCAAATTATCGAATTATCGAATTAAATCCCAATATAATTAATTCTTGTACCAAAACTTATAGTTTTAATAATCATTTAATAAAGAAAATATAAAACTGGCCATATTGACAAGTTTCCAACGTTAAAACTTATAAATTAATAATAACGTTATAAAAACAACGATAACGATAATACAAATAACCGAATCCGTAATTTCATGGCTCTCTGAAATCCCATCGAGAATGGTCTCCACGGCTTCTAAATCGATCCAGGGTCTATAGTCTAAGGATCCATTGTATCAGGGTATCGATGATGTGCGTATCGTGTGTATGTACAGCACACGTATAACGCGCGCGACCGCGCACTTCCTCTCTCTTCCGGAAGCACGCGTGCGCGCGGCGAAGGAAGCCGCTACGAAGGATCGCCGAGAAACGATCTCTGACCCCGTTGATCCAATCTCAAAGTCAAAGTTTTCCAATTTCGAGGCGGGCCGATACTTCGAGGCCAAGATCATTCCACGTTTATCGTAGTTTCTTATTGCTCCGATTCCCCATTTCGAAACTTGGCCGATCTTCCGGCTCTGTGAAGAACCGCGAGATCGCATCGAGACACGCTATCTGTGCGCAATCGGTAATGGGAGAAATTAGCGGGAGCTCGAGGTAGCGGAAGTTGGAGGAGGGAGGTATTTGGCAGCGCGCGGTTTCCACTTCCCTCGGTGTACAAGATGGCGAGATTATTTTTGGAATAGATGATACGGCATAGGATACGGCTAGTGTGTTATTATTGGCTTTGTTTTATCGCGAATAAATGGGATTGTCGACAATTGTTCCAGAGATTTCTGTTTCAAATGTAGAGATATGGAACTTTGTAATATTGCGCGGTTTGTCTTTAGTTTCCTTTGTTTTATTGTTGAGTGGTAATAAATGTGGTTTTTATTACGCGAATAATCTGTTATTCACGCACGTGAATAATCTGTTACTCGTGTGTCATAGTAGATTTAAATGCGATATTTTTACGATATTTAGCTTGTGCTTTTGTTTCTCTTCTTTTTACTATTAATTAGGTGGTAAATATAGATTGTTTTTTAATTGTATGAAAATCTTATATATATGCGTTTTTTTTTACAGAATCGTGTGATTGTTTTTAAATTATTTAATGAATATAATTCAATGCAATTGAAAATGTATGTACAAATACTTGAAGTGTTTAATGGAAAACAAGTCGTATATTATATATCATCGCGTAAATATTATCAATTTTGATTACAATCACATCATTTTAAAGAAATATAGATTAAAGATAAAGCTTTCTTTCAATTTCCTTTTCTCTAAACATATGAAAATATAATGTATGCTTATTTTCCTCTGGATTTCTTCAATTACAGAATCATATAACTTACGATTGATTTTCAATTATAATATGAGAATAGAACGTAAACAGAAAAATTTTACGAAACATGATTTAAATAATTTAACAATTCATTGCGATCAATTTATTAGCGAAGAATTGCGTATCAAGTTGTTTGCAGCCAATTTAAAATGGAGGATGTGGTATCTGGAGGATGTACGGTTGGATAAGACAAAAAAAAGATGTATTTATAAATAATTATTTTTCAAGAAATTCACGATTTATTTATGATTAATCGTCCATCATTGAATTATTATTTACGTTATCCTAGTTACGTAGCAATGTGTGATACAATATAAATAGTGATTCATATTCAAGAATATAGAACTGCACGATCAATATCAATTTAAGAGAAACGTTGTATTACATAACACAGATTCTGCAATGCAAGAAACGTAGTACTACGTGATCGATCGTATTCCGTTTAAATTCGATAAATAATCAATTGTGTTCAAATATAATACTAATATCATATTTGTTATTTATTATGGATGTTATATGGATGGACAAAACGTAGCATCACGATTTAATTATTTGATTAAATTATAACACTCCATCAATATCTTGTCTTTCTATTCGAAATTATAATATATACACAATCTTGTATTTTAATTACAATTACAATTTATTTGCAAAGCTAAAATATTTCTTTTCAAGAAAAACAAACAGTATTATATTATTTATATACAGTATTATAAGTTTTCTTTCTTAAAAAATACTATCGTTTATTTTTTCCAAAATTTATAATGCCACACGAAGTGATAATGTTTCATTCATTTCCTCATTATAACAAATATCGTAATTTACATTCTTCTACTCAAAATGTTCGATACTTTTTTTTCTAATCTCTTAAAATTCATTTCCTTCATTATCATTAATTTTTCACACGTTTCTAATAATAACTAAATAAATATACCAATTATAACGACTATACAATCGGAACAAAATCCATAATAAAATATCTCAGTATATAAA